TTTTATTAATTTTGTAATTCCTGTTTTTTTTTAAACAAAACCAATTTTTTAAATCTATTTTTGAGAAAGGTCATATTGGGCCACTTTTGTTTTCGAGCAATTGCAGTGTCGCTACATGTTTATAAATTGTGTAATAAATATTTCATAACTAAAAACTGATTAAATAACATTTTAACAAATTGTTAAATTTTAAATTCAAATATTGATTATTAAGTTATTGTACAAAAGTTATTGTACAAAAAATAAATGTACTATAATACCATGTTTTCCTCTCAAAATAATTGAAGTCAGAGTAATTGAAAATCAAAGTTATTTGTCAAAGTAACTGAAAATCAAAGTTATGAATTAAATGATTTCTAATTTCGAATTTTTGCAATAATATTGAAGATTATCGTAGATTCGAAAATTATCGTCTGGAATAATACAATAATATAAATAAATGCACTAATGTATTATGTTATTATATAATTTTATCAATACCCACTAAATTAATACGTTATATTAATACGTTATACATATAACATATCACTTAACCTATAAACTGGTAAGGAAGTTTTTTTTAATCATTGAATTAAATAGATTATTTACCGATGCATACCGGAAACAAAATATAATACCGAATTAATATTTTTAATCACACACACTGAGAGAGTATTATATTATTAATAATGCGTTAATGCGTTAATTCGTTCATTTCGCTACATTGTATCATTCTAGATGATAACCTTTAAAAAAATCACAATTGATAAACGACCCCTCGATATTTAAACGAACAAACAGAACAAATATATAAAGCAACTGAGGGTAACGACGTGGTAATTAGTGCGCAATAAGATTTCCAGTAAAAAGAGTGTATTTACTTCATATTACATACTCCACATAAAAAGTCAAATGTTTCATTCAAATCATTTTCAGTGATTAAGTACTATATATTAATTCTGCATTATTTCTCGTTTCTAGTATCTATCGGTAAGTAATCTATCCATAAGTAATCTGTTTAATTTTCTATGATTAAAGCAAGCTTCTATATCAATTAATAAGCTAATTGACATGTTACTTATATGTAAAATACAACTAATAAGTGTGAAAAATATAATTAATGAGTATTTGGTGGCATTGGTAAAATTATATTACCTATTCATCGATAAAAAAGGAACGAAATTACACATTTGTACCATTGTTAATAAATTATAATTAAATGAAATTAAAATGAAAAAATTAAATTAAATTATAAATAATTAGATAAAACAATTTAATTAGAATAAATCAATTTAAAAGCTCGTCGTTAATCCATAACTAAATTACACGGAAGCAACAAGTGATGAACTGCAATAAGAAGTTTCATATCAATTTGTATAAAAGTAAATATGATAATAAATATTAAATGATTTATTAAGTATTACGATATGTCATTTGTTATTTCATATAACAAAGCAAATTTAGTAAAAATGAACAGACGACGGGGTTATGAGAGTCTAGAGTGGTAATTAGTGCTAAGCAATAGTTTTTCAAAAATTTAATTTAATTAATTAGTTAAACATTATGAGACTTACAATATCTTGCTTCGTTTCGGCTTTAATACTTGAGTCTTCTTCAATAACAAAAAAATGCAAACAATAAAAAATAAAAAAATTGCATGTCGTTAGGTACGTTAAACATAAAATTCTAGGTATACCAAAGTAACGCAAAAGGTTCTCCATTACCTAAAATAATTATATTATATAT